CTTCCTTCCTTCCTTCCTTCCTTCCTTCCTTCCTTCCTTCCTTCTTCCCTCGCTTCTTTCTTTCTGTAATATTTAATTTTCAAAAGGGAATGTGTTCTGAGTCAGAGAGAGGGATGGAGCAGGAATGCTCAATAAAATGAAGAAATAGATTTTCAAAGGGATACTTTATTCGATTAATTAGTCAATTCCCTTGTCATAGAAGAAAAATTATCTGTAAGCCACCCTGACAGAGGAGACTCTTCTAGCGAGAAGCAAAGAGATGTGGGGCTGTAACAATAGGAGAGCTGATTTGCAATGCAAATGAGCAACCAGCAGGCAAATGAACCCTTATGGGAAAAGCACTCTAATCATAAACCCGCTTGCTGTGGGGAGACTGCAGTGTAAGGACAAACAGAATCACAGCTCCGTGAATCCCCTCTAATAGAGCTTATTAGGGAATTATCCAGGTAGTTTTCTATGGAACTGCATTTGAATGAAACAAAATGCATTGCTTGGCAGTAGGTGGTGTCTTTAAAAATCGAACCCACAATGGCAGAATGAATTATTTATGATTGTCACATATAGCTATGATAGTTTGGCTATAAAATACTCAGACTTTTCCCTCTGTTTTTTTTGTTTGTAGGAAAACAAGTCATTCAAGCTTTTTAGTGATACAATGTGACTTGCTGTCGATGGCAGTTTTGAATTTTCGAGCCCTGCCAAGCACAGGAGGACCCAGAAGGGACATATGTTTTCTCTGCTTTGCAGTCCAAATTTGCCTTAAAAACACGCAATTATGGGAAAGCCTGATTTATATTTTCAAGGGAAAGCACAATAATGGCCCTGTTTTGTAGCAGTGTTTTTCCAAAATGTATTTGTATTGCTGCTTTTTCAAAAGAAGTTGGCTAATGATCATTGGGTTTTCGCTTTCTGCACTGATATATGAAAATTTGATGAGGTCCAAGAGATTTAAGAACCGTTTGCTGGTGCAATAGAAATTTAGTCACCGACTCTGGACTTGGAGACTGGCAAAACTTCTGCAGTCTTTTTACTCAGTTTCCTTATTTTCATGGATGGTGGAAAGAGAGGGCAGGCGGGAAGCGTGTGCCTATGTAGTCAGGTGGCGCAGAAAGATCAGGAGGGCACAGCACACACCCTATTGGGCAACAAAAAGCTGTGAGTGTGTTCTGCTTGGTACTGGAGGTGGCCTGAGGTAGGCTGTGCTTGCTGGATCTGGCTCTGGGGAGAAGTTGTGAAGCGGGAAGTGATTTCTTGATCATGTTATATGCTTAAATGAAAATGACCATAGAGCCCTTTGTAAATCATATAATCACACTGGCTTTAGATTTCTTGCCCTTCATTACTGTTATTAATGAAGGCTTTTACTCCACTCGTTCAGCAATATTTCCAGGAAATTTATTGAGCAAAAAGGAGTTAGTCTCTTTCTGGATTGGGGAGTTCTCTCCTGGGAGGCAGAGTAATATTTTGTTGTTATTGTTAATTGCTCTTTATTCAGGAATGGAGATTCAGAAAGCTGAAAGGCCCACTCCACATAGTACGGTAGTCAATGGGCAAGCAATTTTTATAATATAAAATTTCTGGGACTATTAAAACAGAGAAAAAATTTCTTGGGATAGTGTAAAGATGGACGTTCGTGGTAGGCATAATATGCATACAGTATGATCTAAAGGTTTTTCTTTCTAAGACGGTCTAATTGTTGTTGAGTATGTTTTTGAACTCTTGAGTTCAAATGATCCTCCTGCCTCTGTCTCAAGAGTAGCTGAGATTATAGGTATGTACCAACGTGCCCAGCTATGTAGTATATTTTTTATTGCTTTGTGCAAACCTACAGTTAACGTGGTTAATTTTATAATAGGTATGCCTTATGTAACTTATGGAGTAGTAAAGCATTTATATATTTTTTCATGTTTCTTTTGTTTGTTTGTTTGTTTTGGTATTTTTGAGACAGGGTCTCCCTGTAGCTCCAACTGGCCTGAAACTCTCTATGTAGACCAGGCTGGCCTCAGTCTCACAGAGATCTGCCTGTTTCTGCCTCTCCAGTGCTGGGATCAAAGGCATGCACCACCATGCCCAGCTAAGCATTTATATTTTATATTTAGAATTGTAAAATTTCAGAAAAATTGTATATGAAAATTGAGATAATAGAATGTATTTTCTACCAGGTTTTAATTTTAATGAAATTAATTTTCAAATCCTTAAAAATTGTTTCACTCCCTGCAACTCATAAACTGGGGTGTAGGAGAAGTTACATGTGTTCTCTAAAGGCCTTCTTGTGTTCTTGTAGAAGCTTGGCTCTGACATGTTTTCTCATTTGTGTGATCTATGGGCCTGGGAAATTGATACCAACCTTTGTGTTTGCTGGAGAAAGTTTGGTAAAAGAGAACTCTCAATTTGCTCAATAGAAATGTCTTTTATCTGATTACAAAATGGCCCCTCAGTTTGCTGGAATCATCTTTTGTGTGGTTTTAAATATTATCCATATTGTTCCATCAGTCAGTTTGTGACAATTAGCTCCTGGGTTCGGGTTTTGGATGACCGCAGAGGAATTTTCACAGTAGACTCCAGGCTGAATATTTCTCCATTTGAGAGTTTTCCAACTATGCTCCTCCATGAAAACAGATTGAAAAATATGTCATGGATCATTCAGGATAGAATTTTAAAGGTATTTCTATTTTATTAAGATGATAGCTCACCTAAGAGATTTGGAGATCGGCATGAGTTTTATGGTAGAGTCCACCACCTTGTAAGCTACAGGCCTCAGAAGTTGATGCAGACACACTGTGGCTTAACCTAGCTTAATTACACGATGATAACAGCCATTCATTCCGAGGCAGAAGTTTGCACTGATAAAAGCCAAACTCTCGACACAGAAGCTGAGACTGAAGGTGAGGAGATGTCCAGGGTGATCCGACTGTTTTAGGGCAGGTGATCAAAAGAACATTTCTGTCTCACCCAGAATATCAAGAGACTCTAGGCATAGCGCCTCACAGTTTATCCAGGAAAAGGCAGCAGATCATTCTCCCCAGGTCCCTCCTAGTTCAATTCAGAAGAGACTGGTGAGGGCAGAGGATGCCGTAATGCACAGGACCCTGGGCCAGGGTCTTGTCCCTGAAGAGAGTCTTTGGAATCAAAATATTTTCAGTCTTCCTTTTCTCCTTTCAGTTCATCTTCTGATTGTTTTCCCTCCTTTTTTCCAAGTCAGTACCTACCCTGAATCTCTCTCACATCTGCCTTTCTCTACCTCCTGTTCCTTTCATCTCAGATCACCCAACCTGATGCAGGAATGCAGGTTTGGGGTATGAATTGAATTAATAGAGAACTCAGAACAATGGGGTTGCATCAATGTGGGTGTTCAACTATGTCATTAATATTTTGGGAAGAGAAATGATTGGTGTCCAAAAATTCCATTTTATAGACATTACTATTTACATTGTTGATTTTAATTTATTTTCTTTTTGTTTTGGTAAGATTGAAAACCAAGTGACTCTGGAAGAGCTACAAAACTTACATGCATTGTTTCAGGTAGGAATGGGCCAGATAAATGTTTACATATTCATCTAGGTAATTGATTCTCTCCTTGATAGTTGAGTTTTCAGTACAAAGTATAATTCTTTTAGTTTCTATAAAATAGCAATGAAGAATAATTTTTATTGTCACTTCTTAATGGAAGTAAAAACAAATTGTGAATGCATCAGAAAAATACAAAAAGGAGAAGAAGTGTAAGAAAGTTGATAGAGTTTAGGTGAGTCTAATTAGACATTCAATTCTTAGACTTTTGCTCCTAAACTTATGTGAAATATAATGCTGTATGTTTCCAGATAAATACTATCTTGGCCTTTTTTCTTTCCTTTCTAGGAATATGAAAGGAGAGGAAGACACCTGCTAGATATGGAAACCTTCAAATGCATGGTGAAGCAGAGCATGAGGTCACAGAGCAAAGTAAGTGGGTCTTATAAATGTTATCATTGAGACCGTTAATGCTTTAGCCACATGAGTCAGTTAGATTTGATCATCTCTCTGTAAGATCCCTCTCCTCTCTAAACTGTGATTTCTGCTAAGACCTGTCTGACGTAGTGGACAGTATACGTGAGAAATGTTTTTAAATTACTTAGTCTAGAACAATTTGGTTTTAGAGACTTCTCTTTGAAAGGGAAAGGGGATTAAATTGCCAGTTATGTGTGTATGTTTTTATTTCACACACATCTATTTAATTTTTATTCAATTCCTTCCTGTTGGCTAGAATCAAGTGACTTAATCATTCTCTGCCATTTTGGTTATCTCAGAGTATGAAATGTTTTTTAAAAAATTCTGTAGCAACTTCATACATGTACATAATGCTGTTTTGGTCATTTTCACAGGCACACATCCATTTACCTTTTCTTATCCCTCTCCAGCTCCTCTGAATCCTTTCTTCTTACCAACAAGCCCCCTCCTACTTTCATGGGGTTTTTGTTGTTGTTGTTTTGTTTTTTTGGTGACCTGCTGAGTTTAATTAGGATTACTTGCATGAGCATGGGTGGGAGGCTATTTACTGAAGCATGGGCAACTTACTAAAGTATGAAATCTTTTTTCTTTTTTTTTGAGTATGAAATCTTAATGAGTAAGATTTTTAGGGGTTGGGGGCAAGCCTCAGTTGGCAAAGTGCCTTCTGTACAACATGAGGACCTGAGTTTAGATCCCTAGCACCCACATAAAAAGCTAGGTGTAGTGGCACACATCTGTAACCCAGCACTGGAAGAGGGGAGGGGATCCAGGGAGCTTACTCACCAGCTGGTCAGCATGAATTGGTGAGCTTTGGGTTCAGGGGTGGGTAGCAATTGAGGAAGAAATCTGACCTCAACCTTTAGCATCCACAAGCATGGACACACATGCACATGGACTCCCACATATGTGCTCACACATGAATATGTATATACACTAACATGTACACAAACATACACTACACTCACACAATATTTTATTTAAATCTTAAGATAAATTACATATGATCAAGGGACAACCTGTCTAATCTCTAAGTTTCATAATTGTGTCTTGTTATTATAGAAAAAATTTCAACTTAGAACTCTGTGATCCTGTCCCTGGAACTTGAGCAAAAACAACCCCTGTCAAATTATAGGCCAGTGACACCATCAACTACCCCTTCTAAGAACAAAGCCCCAGGATCTGATAGTGATAGCAGAAGGATAGGTGTGTTTAGAGTTTTGCTTGCTGTGGGACAGGACACTAAATAAAATCTATTTATAAAACATCTCCCTTGCTGCCGTAGTCTGTTTAGGCTGCTATGATAAAACACTGTCAACTAGACAGCTTATGAATAACAGAAATTTTTCTCTCAGGTCATAAGGCAGGAAGTTCAATGTTAAGGCACTGTCAGATCTGCTGTCCAGTCAGGCCCAACTTACTTCCTGTGTCAAGCCAGAACCACCCTTCTGAACCCTCACACAATGGAAGGGATGACCAGTCTCTGGAGTTTCACTTGTAAGGGCACTAGCCCTCTCATAGCACTCTACCTTTATGACAGAGTGGCATTCCGAAGGCGCCACCTCCTAACACTGTCACCTGGGAAGAGGAAATGTGAATAATTCAGGATGAGAATCTAGGGAGATAGGAAACAGCTCAGAGTGCTTCATTTGGTAAAGCTAAACAGTACTGCTTTAAATGGACAGGTTATTGGAGGTTTAGCAATATCCCAGATCTTTTAAATGCAAACAATCTGATTAAATGATCTGATTTCCTATACTTTAGAACGTTTGCCAACCTAGTTGTATATTCACTCTCTCATTCATTCATTCATTCATTCATCCATTCATTCAATATATATTTGTGGTATGAGTCTGACAGGAAGTGGTCTCTAGGGAGTAGCTGCCATAGAACTGAGCTCAGTGCCCTGGGAACATCTAGTCAGACCCAGAGTCAGAAAGCTAGGGAAGGCTGAGTTTTGTGTGGGAAGTTCTGAGGACTGAAGAGAACCACTCCATAAACAGAAAGATGGAAACAGGGAGTTCCAGGCAGAGGGAATAGCATTTGAGAAAGCCCCAAGGCAAGAGCCAGCCCAATGAATGCCCGTATCCAAGGAAACATGACTGAGTCACACTGGGAGAACTCAGGACAGACATTGCATTATTTGTGTCCATTTATACTGAGCAAAATTTGGAGCATCAGAGGAGCCCTAAACCCTCTCTCATCACTTATTTAACAAACGGTTATTGATTTCTGATTGCTCACACAGCCTTAGGGGCTCTGTGTGTTTTACTCTATCAGCCCCCAGAGTGGCAGAGGAGCCTTGTTCTGTCCCCAGAGTAGCAGAGCAGTCTTGCTCAGAAGGCATCTCCTTCCAGTTTCATCACTGAGGTTTAGCAACAGTAACTCCCCCAAAGCTGCCCTGCTAAGGAATAGATGGAGAATCAAGCTCCAGTGTAAGATTGAAGTTCATTCTATCCATTGATGAGGTTTAATTGCAATGACAGGTAGGCCCCAGACACCACTAAGTGGGGGTTTTTCTCCTTTGTGTGAAAGTCAGGGATCAAATGGCTTCATGGGACTAATGGGGATTAAACTCCACCCACTCTGCTGCCTGCCTCCCTCACGTGTGGATTCCCCATTTGAGTCTACAAAGGCTGCTTCAAGACTCTAGTCATCAAATCTCAATCCAGCCAGCAGGAAAGGGGAAGTGTCGAGGAAAGGGTCCTGCCTTTTCTTTAAAGACAACTCCCAGAATCAACCCAAGACACTTGAATTTTCAGCATTTCTTTAGTACAAGATTTACTTTATTTTGAATTTTGTGTGTGTGTGTGTGTGTGTGTGTGTGTGTGTGTGTGTGTGTGTAGAGGTATAGGCACATGAATGCAGATGCTGGTAGAGACCAGAAGGTATTAGATTCCTATGGAACTAGAGTTACAGGTAGTTGTGAGCTGCCAAACGTGGGTGCCAGGAGACAAACTTAGGTCCCCTGCAAGAGCAGTAAGCACTCTTAACTGCTGAGCCATCTCTACAGCTCCTTACGTTCAATATTTTTGTGAGAAATTAATCGTGTACCATGACTAGCTGCAAAGGAGGCAATGATGGTCTTCACTATGGGAAACCACAACCCAGTCAGCAGCTGGCTGTTCTTTTTAGTAAGGAATAATGGCTACAGGAAAAAACAGCAGGTCCTTTCCATGGTTCTGGGGTTTTATATTCTAGACCGGCTGGAACCCAGAAAATATCTCCTTTACTTTTTTTATGAAATGCTTAGTCAAAATTCAGTGCCATAAAGGGGACCCTGAAGGATACATTCAGGAAGTATGCAATGACTAGGTGAGAATTTCAGACACTGATGGATTCTTGAAAAGTATCAGTTTGGCCTGGTATCGTACAAGCTCTCTGTTTCCCCTGGAAAGAAAGAAGTTGTCCTCAATTTCTTTGAAATACTTTGATGTGCCTCCTTGAGCCCTGGCAGGGGCCGACAATGAGATTGCTCTCTTTGCATCTCATGGGGTTTTGCTTGTCTGTGACCTCTTCTAGTGCTTGGCATACCCTTGGTGATCTGTCGGAGTTTCCCCAGTGAGTTGACTGACATGTAGAGGCAGTAGGTCAATGCCCTCTGCAGCCTACGTGATCAGACCCATTCATCCATAGACATATGTGCTTCTCAGCTCTGGCCTGAACCCAGCTCCCTCAGCTGGGTCCCTCTGGCCACAGCCACAGGGCAGCAAGACCAGGGCAGGGGCTATTGCCCCACATCCTCATGACATGGCTCACAATACTGCATGACCCTTGCTTTTACCACCTTATTCAGAGCCCCAGGTATACTCAGAGTCTTCCAGGCTCTGCTTGGTCATCACAGGTGGTCTGGACAGACAGCCTGAACCAACATTATGATGGCTGTCACCCTGAGATTTCTGTTTTCTGTTCTATCTCTGATCTCAGGCTTTTGATAAGACCATACCTTGAAATTACTGGATTTATTTAGATATCCATTCTGAAAAACTAATTAAACATGTGTTCATGGTATTATTTGAAGTCTAGCATTGTTGGCCACATCTGTAAATGTGGTTCATCTCCATTGGAGCAAGACCCAGAAGGCACTGGTGCTGAGCTTGGTTCTATGACTAGCATCCTTTTTCTCATGACCCTACACTGGCATGGGTGTAGACTTGCCAAGGGGCACTACCCTGGTAGCTTGGTGTCCTGGAGACCAGGTATCACATCATTTTCTCCATTCTACTGTCACTGCTCCTCAAAGACAGACAACCCTGGGTCTTAAAGGGGAGCCAGCATCTAACTCCTCAACACAGACACATAATCTGAGCATCTCTGCTGAAGCTGCCTTCTACATACATTCATGAATTTATAGAACTTTTGAATTTGAAACATTAGAGAGTTCTTAGTACATAATCCCTTTGAGTGTCCCACCAGCACAGTTTGTGGACTACCTCATAATATATAACCCCTTCAATAGTTATCTCTTAAGCCTCGAGCTATCATGCTGAATACAATAACTCAGTGCTTTGTAAGCAACCCATTTCAAGGTTGTAAAGCTCTGACCTTAGAAATGTTTTACTTTATTAGCTGAAGTTGGGTTTTAGAGACATTGTATCCATTAGCCCAGTTTCTATGCTTTTGAACCACTGTATTCGTTAATGTATTCCTCTATCATAAGATATCAAAAACATATGAATTTAACTCAATACACATTCTATCTTGTCAAGGTTTCTGCAAGAATCTAAGCCTGGTCTAACTGGGTCCTCAGAATGTCTGTCATTGTTGGTGGGTCTCACTGGAAAGCTCCACGCGGGAACCATCTACTTCCAAGTTCATGTGGTTGTTCCCAGGATTCAGTTGTCCAAATACAGTTCTTTGCAGGTTGGCCTGGGGGGTCTCAGAGGGAGCTTCCTGGGACCACAGAACATATGATGCATATGTTCTGCCACAACCTAGACTTGAGTTCCAAAAATAAAGTTCCAGTAGCCCAAGTTACTCACTGGGGATAAGTTGTGTGCTGAACTCTGACAGAAGTCCTATGTTTTACAGCAAATGTCCCAGAGATTCTTGAACATTATACTTGTTTGAATATGAAAATAATAAATTAGAAAAAATGAAGAAGTCCCCTCATTCTGTACCTCTTTCCCCAAGAATCCAGTGAAGCCTATAAATACTTATTTATTTTTTTCTAGAGTATTGGACAAATAGAACAACTTTTCATGAAAATAGACTATGAGGCAATGGGGAGAATCCAATGGGTAAGTTACGTTTTTAAAAAATATTTTATTTATTATTTTTATTTTATGCGTATGAGTGCATTGCCTGAATGTAGGTGAGCACACCCATGTCGTGCAATGCCCATGGAGGACAGAAGAAGCTGTCGGATCCCCTGGAACTGGAATTATGGACAGTTGCCAGCTGCCATGTGGGTGCTGGGATTCGAACCCGGGTCTTCTGCAAGAATAGTCAGTGTTCTTAACTGCTGAGCCATCTCTCTAGCCCCAACATTTTATGAATCTAATTTTGTGGTGTAACACATTTCATTCAGAGGCTGGGTCTTTCTGTAGTACCTTGTGTGCCCCAGTACCCTTGGCTCCTGGAACTAAAAAGACATGTTTGCTTGCTACTTCGAATTCTTCTATGAAAGAGTTTAACTGGGCTACTGAGGCAAGTTTCACAAAGCATGTCTTAAAACCAAGAGTGGAAGCCACATTCACCACTTTACATAATGCCAAAGAGAAAACCAGTGAGGGAGGAATCCCCTGTGATAACTGGAAATGTGATCTAAGGGTTTAGAGCCAGGACTGTTTTGGAATAAATTTTCAACCAAGTATCATCATCATCATCACCACCACCACTACCATCATCATCAGTATTATGCGTTTTAGCTGTGTGATAATGAAGAGGCGAGACACCAGCTTTTAGCATTCCTGTCCATTGTGCCTATCAATGTTCTCCCATTGTTCAGGGATGAATTAAGTTCAAAAATGACAAATTGAGCAATAAGCCACCTCTATTCACACCTTTGGCCAATTTCCTAACCAAATCATATATAAGTGCTTTCAATTGTCATCTGGTTTGAAAAGGAGCATTCGACATTCCAGCGCACACAAAGGAAATTTCTAGCAAAGTAGGGATTTGGGAGAAATGGAGAGGAAATAAAAATTCCCTAAGTTCAAAGATACTTAACCCCATATCTCAGGTTTAAGGATCCCCTCCCGTCTCTTTAGCCACAAAGTTTCTGTAGGTATCCTGCTATCATCCTAACAGAAACTCTCCGTGAACTATGGAGTCAGATAGGTAGGGTCCCAAGTCACTGACCAGCTACTTCTGAGTCGTTTCCTTTTAGCAAGTCACTGAACTTGGGCATTTCAATTTGTAAAATGGGGTGAATTGTATTCCAAGGGCTGCAGTGAGGAATTGTGGTGAAGGTCCACAATTCCACAACTGTGGTAGGGCATGGCACATGACCAATAACAGCCACCACTATTGCTGCTATGCCCCCACCACCACTCTCAGAGAAAGAGGGAGGGCATGGGAAAGGAGCCAGACAGCTGGGTGACAGACCTCCAGGCCCAGCTGAAGGCAAACCCCCACGCTGGCAACATGACCTAACAATTTTGTCATGTCCAAGGAAGGAATTATCCATTCCCTGATGAGAAAGGGAATTTTTGAAAGCCAGAAAGACAGTGAATCTCAGCAACTTGTCCTTTGCTCTCCAGGACAGCTTCTGCACCTATCTGCAGCTGGAGTACTCGGAGCAGGCCAAGGCTGCAGCTCGGCAGAAAGAGATTTCCTTCCTGCTGCCCGCCATACAGCAAAGGCTGTCACACGGGGGACCCGTGCTGCGAATTCTCTCTGTGCCTGATGACACCTTAATCACCATTCGAGAAGATGGAGCTATTTATTTCTGGTCCCTGCAGCTGAAGCTGAAAAGAAAAAAACAGATTTTTGTATGTGATTTTCATTTGATAAGGATGCTGAGTGCTACAGTTTGATTTTATTTGCTATTTTAAACTGCTCCTTTAAGTGGCATGATTACATAAATTGTGCCCTTGAATATAATATATTCATGTTAGATTTTGCGAGTCTATAGAATGCAAATAAAATATGAGCTCTACATGCAGAACAAGATGCCGCTTCATTTTGCCTCTAACATCAAATGGGGAGATGAATTACACATGCTCCTGTCATGTAATTTATCATGTCTTAATGAATGACAAAGGGAATGGAATTTTCCTTTTTCACCCATTTGTGGTTAGATCAGTTAGACAGTTACACTAGGGCCTCAGTTCAGAGAAGCTACAGAATCACAGATCAGAAATTCAGAAGGCAGCAAACATTTGGGAAGCACACTTAGGAGTAAGAATGCCTGGCCCATTTCAGGAAACATTCCATCTTGAAAGTCGTTTTTTAAAAAAATCTCATTCAACAAATATTTGGGGCCCTGGTGATGATTCAGGTTTTGTACTGAGTGCCGGGGACATAGAACCTGGTCTGTGTCCCCAGGAAACCTAGATCTGACACCAGAATTTTGCAGCTAAAGGCTCAGGCTGCTAAATAGCCCCTCCCAGGGGAGGGCACCGAATGAGTGCTTCAAATCTACATAACTAGTTCTTTCTCCTTGAAGGAGAAAATCAGTTAAAGAAAACTATAAATGTTAAGTGTACATTTTATAGAAAGGAATGGCTAGTTGGGACTGGGAATTTAACTCAAGGATAAAGTGCTTGCCTAGAAAGTGCAAGGCTCTAACTTCAGTTTCCAGTACCAGGAGGGAAAAAAGAATGACTAAAGATCACTGACAATTTTTTCTCATTAACAAGGCATATACCTTTGTTCATTTCTACCCTTCAACCTTGTAGGGCAAGTCCATCAGTCGGAAGTCCAGATGGGTGACAGATATGGTCTGCATGCCACAATACAACAAATTAATCATTGGGACTGGGTAAGTGTCGAAGTTCATCAACGAAAACTGAGCAGTAGTGGTAGGACGGGCTGGGTTTCCATGCGTGAGCTCACACAAACAGGTACATTCGAAGTATGAAGCTAAAGTTAGAGACTTAAGAAATATTAGAACTCACGTATCAGTCAAAGGTACTGCCCAGAGTTACATGTGGCTTTCTGCAGTCATGCTCTCATTGTCTCAAACACAGGATGCCCTCTTTTAAAACATACTGCTGGAGCCAAGAAAGGACCATGTAAGAAAAACATTAGTCTGAGTAGTTTTTAAGCACACTTTATTTTAGATTGAATAGTAGTCTTGTTTTCATATTCATTTAAATTGAGTCTTCACTACACTATAGTAGTTCAAAGGCTAAAATCCACAGTAAAAACACTGCTGTATTTACTGTTGACACTGGTTGCTTAGGCTGGGGAGCGAGGTCCTGAAGGTTCCAATTCTGTGGGAGCACAAACTTAGGTCCCAGAGGGACAGTAGAGACTGAACTATTAGGCAATTTAAGCTCCGGGCTTTGGGGTGTGGCTACAGAAAGAGCAGGTTTGGAGGGTTCCCACCATCCAGCCTATCATACATACCCCTCATGCCTGGAAAGCCCTCTCTACCTAGTCCCTTCCAGAAGTCTCCAGATCTCTAGGTCTTAAAGTAATTTAGAAATCTCCATGATTTAACAGTTAATCCAGCATCAGACTATCCCAGTTATTTGTTTAGATATAATTTTTCATGCTTTTACTGATTTATATATTTATTAATTTTTTATAAAATGCTAGTTAATGCATTCTAAGTGTGATAGGAAAGTTGCACCAAATGATATCTCCAGAGTATGGTAGTCTAACAAGATCTTCAAAATGACAAAACTTGTTGACATGCCAAGGTGGGTGGGGAAATGTCATGGGGTTCCACCTCAAGATGAAGAGCTACAGGCAATCAATGGATGCTGAGGGAGGGGGAATCAGTTTCCTCCAGTGACTAGTTCCCTGAGAGGTTATCTAATTCCAAGAGGGCAGTCCTAAATATAGGTACACACGAGCACCAGCAAATGGACTCGGTATGTGTGCATTTATAAATATATGCAGCATATATAATATTAATAATCAAGAAGGCAAGAAATTAAGAGTGGGGAACAGAGAGATAAAAACACTGCAAGTTCTCAAAAATTGAAAAAAGAATATATTCATTAAAATGTCAATATAAATATAATCAATGTAATATTGACTATGCTAGCTACTAAACAAAAATGAGAATTTATAAATTTGGCTCAGTTTGATTTTTTTTATTTTTATTATATTTACTTTTTGTGACTTGAATATTTGTACATCTTTACGGGTTACATTATGCTAATTTGATATATAACACTACATGTAATGATCAAATCAAGGTAATCATTTACCTTGATTAATCAGCAGTCGAATGTTAATTGCTTTTATGTGTTGGGAATTTCTAGTTATTGAACAAACGAAAGGTATAGATTGGTTTAAACAAGAACTACTCTATTGTGCTATAGAAAATGAAAATTCTCTTTGTGTTTTGATGCTCCTTATTTAAATTCTTTCCATCCTCACACCTTCTCCTCCCCTCTAGCATTGCCCTTCCAGGTCTCCAGTGGCCACTACTCCACTCAGTTCTGTGAGGTCACTGAGTGTGGTGTCCACCAGTCAGAACACTAGAGCCAGTCTTTCCCTGGCTTATTTCACTTGATACAGTGGCCTCCCCCAGTTGGACTTTTGAAAAGGATGCCTAAAGTCCTTATCAAGTGGGTCACCATACACAAATTCAGAGATTGGCATAGTAACTCCTTAGACTCTGAGCTGGTCAAGGGGAAGAGGCAGCACAGTACATTCCACCCCGTTTGAACTGCAACCACTATTACTAAGAAAGTAGGGAAAAGAGACATTCAGTCCAAGGAGGCCCAGGCTAAGGGCCTGGAACAGGGAGTGGCCGGGCGTGCTTGAGCCGCTTGGTTGTTCTGTCACCCTCACAAAGTTATTCCTTCTCAGCAGCTGCAGGGGGGACCCGACACAGGAAGGATGAAGTTAAGGTGCAGGTTAGGAAGAGGGGAAACAAGGGAAGTACCAGGGTAGCCCTTTAGTTAGAGGAAGAGGCCTTCACCGCTGCCCTTCAGGTCTGGCATCTTCATATTCTCTCCACCAGCGCCTCTCATTCTGAGCAGTTAGCAATTCTCAGACATTGGACCAATCACTCTCTCATGCATCATTTCAATGATCTCTCTGTAATGCTTCTAACACAGGGATTGTTATGATCTCATTTTACAGAGGAGAGAACTGAGTGGTGAGCTGGGCTCTGAGATCCCCCATAGCTGGGCTCCAGAGCCCAGGCAGCTGAAAAAGGTATCACTCAGCTGCGTGGCCAGGCTTGGCATTTGGCTGAAGATTTGTTCCCAAAGTATGGAGCTGAGAGGGAACCCAGGCTCAGGCAGAGGGTGTGCTCTCTAGGGCGGGATTTTCTCAGGTCAGGTGCCTCCACATTCGATCTGTGGAACTTAAAATACTTCAACAGAAGGGTTGGAGAGATGACTCAGTGGTTAAGAGCACGGGCTGTTCTTGCAGAAGACGGGGGTTTGAATCTGAGCATCCACATGGTGGCTAACAACCGTCCTTAACTCCAGTTCCAGGGGATCCAACGACCTCTTCTGACCTCCTTGGGTATTGCATGACACGGGTGCGCTTACACACATGCAGGCATAACACTCATACACATAAAATCAAAATAAAATAAAATACTCAACAGAAATAGATTGGGGAGCTCACAGTTGCCTCCAACTTGTGCTTGACTTGAACAGAAGCCGGGAACTGCAGCTGTATGAGCTCTCCAACTTGGAGCCTTACTGTCAGATTGCTGGGTTGGAAGCTGTCCCTCTGAAACTGGACTACTGGTAAGAAGGGCCATGCCAGAAAGGCTTGGCTCTGGGTGGTTCACCAGACACTAGGACTATAGGACTACCCACTTGGGAGGCTACTTAATATGCACATGCTAGGGCTTCACGCAGCCTGTCGTCACCTCATCACACAGCCCAGTCCTGCTCACAGCACAGGGACCTTCCTGTAGCAAGCAAAGAGAGGGCTGCTGGAGAGCTCAAACTGGTTTTGGAATCATGCTGTTATCAGTGATGTTTTGGATGTGGCTAGATTAATTTTCATCAAACTCAACTCTGATCACATCATTCAGCCACTTAATAGCTGCCAACTCCCTGTCCAACAATACTCACAGCTTTTGGAAGGTATCTTAGTTTCCTGTTGCAGTAATAGGAATGGCCTGAGAATGAGTGATTTATAAAGATAGGAACCTGAGGGTGTGGGTTTGAGGCTGGCAAGTCTGACTGTGTGGTGCCTGCATCTGCTCTGCTTCTGGCTTCTGGTGAAGAGTTCCTGCTGCTCTAACTCGTGGTAGGAAGAAGAGGATCCCTTGGGTGCAAAAGCAATAAAACTCAAGGAATGGGCTTGCTTTGTAACAAGTTACCCCAACATTCTTGGGGTAACTAAACCAGTCTCATGGGAGAAAGAGCACTAAATCATTCATAAAGACTTGGTCCCCAGAACCCAAACATCTCTCACTAGTCCCCACCTCCCAAAACTGCAGGACTGGGACCTGCGCCTCAGCATGAGTTTGGGTGGAGAAAAACCCTTTTCAGGCCACAGCAGGTGGCATCCAAGCCTCCTCTGCCTCCCCAGCCTCCAATCCCTAAGCACCTTCAAGCCACCACGGAAACATTAACCTGAAGAACAGTAATCCTGCAATGCCTGCTACGCACAGCCACCTCAGAATTGCTCCTGGTGCTGTTCCTTCCTCCACTCATCCTTCCCACAGTGTTGTTGAGTACCCACTGCAGGCTCACATTGTTGCATATGAACATAACATTCATAAATAAGACCTGGTTCCCAAGGCATCATTCAGGCTTGCCAAGCAGGTGGCTCCTATTGAATTCCTACTATTCATCTCGGCTCATGTGTTATCTCTCTGAAAATGCTCCTAAATCTCCTTCAGACCCAAAGCACCCTCAGAAGCTTCTCCAGCCTTTGGCTGTGCTGGTCTTCCACCCAACCACTGGTGTGCAGGTCCTTAGTCTTTGCTGCCTACCCACTGTCTGGCTCCTATACACCAAATGGCATGTAGTAAGTATTCAAGAAACTTTGGCCAAATGACCAAGCTCTTTCCATCCCTCTGGAGGAGAGGGTGTCATTTTACCCCCCAACCTTCTTTATCTTATTATAAGACAGAAGTCTCTTTACTAAACAATTTCAGAAAGATAGATCATCAATTCATCTCTCTTCTCCTAATCATTTTTCACATTAAGAAAAGTAGATGTATTTAGAAGAAAATTACTGAAAAAGCAAAATTGTCAAGTTCTCATAGAAAAGAAGCATAGGACAGACTATCTGGACCCCAGTGTCCTTCCTGCCCTGCCACCCTCCTGTGTGCCAGCCAACTGCAAGGGCGAAGGAGCCTTGCACTCACAGCTCTGCCCAGAGAGCCCTGTCCTCTGCCCACTAGGCACACTTTCTTTTCCACCTGTAGTCTGCAACGAGGCCAGAGGGAGCGCTTCAGGCTCTCTCTGCATCGTGCACCAAGGATCCCAACCTGCAGGGGATGCATAGTTGAATGGTAGGCATTGACTGCTTTTTTTTTTTTTTTTTTTTTTAACCTCACACTTGAAGCTTCCTGAAATGACACAGTGTGCTGTCACCACTTTCAGGGAAAACCATCTGGGTAAGGAAAAATAAATCTCATGAGGATGTAGTTTATCCCACTGAGATGATCTCTGTCCCTTGGCCACCTCCAGATGAGAAGTCAGCCCACAGCAGCATGCAGTGCTCCCAGGGCTCTGTGGAAGCTGGCAGGGATAGGAGGCCCTGGGTCACACCTCTGGAGAGTTAGACAAGAGACATCTTCATCCATAGCCTCAGGTGTCTCATCTAGAAAGCAGAGATAAGGTGACTTGCCACACAGGGCTGATCAAACTCATTCATCAATAAAGAAAGCTCTTAACAAAATACCTAGCAGTATGCACTTCCCACAGGGAACTCTGTCCTCTTCCAACTCACACATGCTGTGAGGACAGAAACACTGTCCTTAGAGGCTTCTGAAAGCATCAGTCCAGGCTTGCCCCCAAAGCCACTGAGACTACTTCAGGCCTAGTCTCTCCCTGACCTGCTCTTCAGACCCACTCAGTTCTTTCCTGTCACAGGACCTTTGCTCCCGGATTTCCTCTGCATGGAATACCACAGCACTCTTTCTGATCAGATCCAATTTGAATCTCATCTTTAGTGGTCCTTCCCAATGCTCCCTATCTACTCTCCCAAGGTCTCCATTGCTTGTCTGCATTACCTGTGACTGTGGGTGGTAAATTTATAGTTAGCTGTCCACCCACAAGTCAGAAGGACAGAAGCATCTGTTTTGTCCCCATTCTACACCTAGTCAGTGTGTGGCCTATAATAACAAGTCAGTATATTTTTAATAAATGTGTGATCAGAATCTTACACTCTGAAGTCCTTTCTCAGGTGGAATCGTGGCCTGAGAGATTGTCTAAACTGTTTGTGTCTCAGCTTCCTTGTCTGTGAAATTGGCATAATAGAAACAGAATGCACCTTATTGGATTGTTGAGAGGATTTCTTGCAGTATTACTTGCCCAGTAGTAGTTGTGTGGCACACAGAAAGGGCTTCCAAAAGCTGTTTGCCACTGTAGTTGTATTTGCATGATCTCCTGACAGGGAGACAGGGCTGGGTGGAGAAAACTTCTGATTAATAAGTTCTAGGGCAACTATGATCTCAAGGTTCCAAGAAAACCTTGCCTGTGGTGGTTTGTCTTCACTGGCAATTCGGTGGAATTTGGAATCACCTAGGAGACGTAGAGCCTGTCTGTGAGGGCCTCTCCAGAGAGGTTTTATGGAGGAAGGAAGACTTACCCAGGATATGAGCAACACCATCCCATGAATCGAAGGCCAAGATTATATGAAAAGGGGGAAATAAAGAAAGCCAGCTGACACCATGTATCTGCTTCCTGTTCTGTCAAGATCTGAGGACATACAGAGTCACATCCAAGAGCTACTTCTACCACCAGACTTTCCCCAGCATGGTGGACTGTGCCTTCAACTCATGAGTCAAAATAAGCCCTTCCTCCTTTAAGCTGCTTCTTGTCAGGTTTTTGGTGACAGTGGTGAGAAAAAGAACTAATTTGCCTCTTCTGCCCTCACTCCTTCTGTATGTGCTCTTTGCTGTGGACTAGAGGTTCAGAGGTTGAACACAGAGGACACAGCCTCAAGGAAAGGACAGTTTGGAGACGTCTCAGTCCACACAGGCTGCCATAACAAGATACCTCAGATTGAGTTGTTTAAACCACAGAAGTTTATTTTCTCATAGACCTCCAGGCTGGAAGCCAAAGTTCAAGGTGGCCACTGACTGTTTCTGGTGACCTGTGTCTTCCTGGTCTGCAAATGGCTGTCATGTTCTCACTGTGTGCTCAGGTGGTCTTTTTTTGATGTGTTTGTGCACAGTGAGAACACTCTGGAGTCTCCTAAGAACACCAATCCTTTCAGGAAGTCCTCACCCTCATGGTCTCATCTGTCCTGAAGGCATAGCTTCAATACCATCACAGTGGGGGTCGGGACTTCATGGGGAGGGCAGGCATCCAGTCCACAACTGTGAGTATTTTCTGCCTTGGGCTGAACCACATCCCCTCTCTCCTGCTGAGGAGCTCATCTGGGGTGGAGCCAGATTCATCAGCCAATGGGACTCTTTATTGATCATGTCATTGTCTGAGGTCCCCTCATCTGTGGCCCCATCCTATCAAAAGTGAGGGTTGTCCCAGGAGATTAGCAGCGAGGTTCAGGGTGCTTCCATGCCCCTCTGAAGTATGTCTAGCTTCCTGGCATACCCAAAAGAAAACAGAACTTTATAACCTATTATAACCCCACATACTGAGCAGGGAGTGGGGAGCTGGGCTTATCTCCCTATCTCACTCTGAGACCACTCTTAAGGCTGGCTGGCATATTCTTCACTTTTTTTCTAGCTAAGCACAGAACACACACTTTGGGCTTTATCTCCATTTCATCTTACCACCCTCTCACACCCAGGCCTAATCACTTAAAGCAACCATAGAACCAACATGGTATTTATCATAATATCCTGGGAGAACGGAGTTCTGGTAAGTGCAATGGTAGCTAGTTACAGGGGCTGAATGCTTCCGGGAGCATTAATCACGGTGTCTGAGTGCATTTGTGGGAGCGCATTGTAAACTAATTACCATGTGCGGGTCCCACTCTATCATTACCTCTAATATATGATTTCAAATATAATACAACTTCTATTTTGTTGCTTTCATACCATTGCAGACACACTTGGAGGTATGCCTCAGCCTGAAAACTTCTAGATACAAAATAAAATGGAAAGAGAGAGAATTTTTGTTTTGCTAGGATTGAACCCAGAGCCTCAAGCACACAATAAGCCCTGACCCAGAAATATTCTTATTGACAAATGCCTGCTCGTAGAGTCTTTACAACATAGAAGACATTCGGCAGCTACTTTTGACAAAATGAATCAATGCATTTAGAAATAAACAGTTTTTTCCCAGCGTGGCTCACTCCTAATTTGTCTGGTTACCCAGGGCAATATATTTCCCTCTTTGTACATTGAACAACAAGAAAGAAAAAGTTTTTTAAACTAGGGAACATGACATCAACACACTCCTAGGATTTCTTGAACACCACCAACAACAACAACAAAATTTAAACTTTAGAGCTTTCTGTTATGACAGTGCATCAAAAAGAACAAACAGACTAGTTTCATGCTTTCATTACAGAGCATACTGTTCTGTTCTACAGAAAAAGGGTGTGTGTATCTTGAATCCTGATTCCAAGAAATGAGCTCTAAAATGTAGAT